ATAATAATAATAATAATAATAATAATAATAATAATAATAATAATAATCTATACTCATCTCCAAGATGGAGAAACTGGTTACTTATTCCAGATCCCTTAACCTGAAATAAAACACCCCTGGGTGATCAGAATAAAGAGGAAGAGCCAGAAGCTGGGTCTCTCACCTGTCACCATGGCTAGGGCAGCGATGCAGGAGAAGGCAGAGATATCGATGTTCATATTCTGCAGGCTGGAAGAGAACTCCACAATGGAATCGATCCATTCCCCGAACCCACGGACACATTGTAGGCGGTGCAGGACCACGCCGTTGCAAAAAATGAGCTTCCCTTCCACGGGGTTTGACCTGCAGAGGGTAGGGGGGGATTTACAGGGCAGCCAGAAAAGGGGAGGGGGGGCGGAATAGAGGAAGGCAAACAACTAATTATTCACCAAGCAATAAATGGAAGGCTTAAGAGGGACCTAATTACTGAGGAGTTAATAAAAACGCAGCTCAGCGGACCTTGAACGGCGCAGGTTTGCTCATCACAAGGATCGCAAGGGTGATGTGTTTGGGTGTGCACATATGGACACATGTACCCCACAGGCCTGCACATCCAAGTGTACACTTGGCAGGTGACCTTCAACTTGGAGAGAGAGAGAGAGCACTTCCTACTTACCTGTAGGCTAGCCGCAGGACGAAAAGCTCCAGGAAGGCAGATTCAAACAGCAGATCTTGGTCTTGTTTGGGAAGGTCAGTGAAGCTGGGGATTTTTTCTGCCCAGCCCCGGATAATATCCATGGAACCAGTTAAGAGGTCATAAAACTGCTGGATGTGCTGCGTGTCATCGCCGGTCATCTGATAATCTGGGTTTGCTTGGAACTGGGATTCCACAGCAAGGAAGATGGGAGAGGGGAGAGAGGGAAGCGGGAGGGAAGTAAGAGAAAGACCCCAGCAATTTAATGAGGCTCTCTGAAATCTACAGCCCGTGAAATTGCTAACCCCATTTCCGAGGAGGGGAGCCAAGTTTTTATAACAATTAAACCTCTGCTCTGGCCAGTGAAGAAATTAGATATCCCATGGCAATTAATTCAATTAGGGTGGCGCTAGGAGGGATGGCCACTCCGGAGAGTTGAAATGGCTGTGGCCAAGAGGAAGGGCCAACTTTAAACACTCTAGAAAGACACACACCCCGCCCCCCGAAACAAAAATTCCAGGGTTTGGCTTAGCTTCTGGAAAGTCAATTTGGGGGTGGGGGGGGGGAATGGGAAAATGTGCTAATGAAATAAGGGGGAGGGAAATCTGCCCATCCATCCATACACACGATACAAACATGTGAAACGCATTCAGCACAAACGCCTATCATGGCTCTCTATCATATTTCATTTCTTATGGATTAAAAATGTACCTTCGCATGTGGTTCTACTGTCAGAAGGGAGCAACTGAGCCTTGAAAAGGGAGCAACAGGGAGCCTTGCAAAAGAGGTGACTTTCTCTCCTTACTTGATTCCTATGGTGTGTGTCCCATAAGGCAGAAGAGAGGGGGGGTAAAAACCAAACCCACATCCTTGTAATAAGGAGCTGAAGGTTAGTTTCCAGGAGGCAGGTGCTCTGGCCATCTCCTTTGGGAGTGTCCTGCCCGGAGTTTAATCTTTCTCAAAGGGCTTTCATTTCCCAAACACGTCTGAATGGGGAACATCTTCTTTTCAAACTTAAGCATTGCTTCAATTACAGGCAGTGGGGGAAATGAGGGAAATAACTTCTAGTATGGAACAAAACAATCCTATATACATTTAAGTAGCAGGAAACGCTATTTGCAAACGTAGCCCACAGCCCACAGAGAAGTGTGTATATAGGGAGAGAGACAGAGTTGCAATCTGCATCTGCTTGAAGTTCCCCTTCCCCGCTTCAGCAGGCACACGTGCATACACATCCACACCCAATTCTCGCCCAGGGATTCTCCGAGCCCTCTGGGACACCAACCCCTTGGAGGTGTCTGCGCAATCACATCAAATGGGTGGTGTGGAAGGGAGAAACGACCCTTCCTCGGGAGGACTAAGCGGATGTCATTTGGTGGCCCGCGAGGGGGACCCCCGTAGGCAAATATTGTCTCCAGCTTACCCTGGAATAGTCCAGGCTGGTCATAGCCGGGTTGGAGTCGACATGAGCTCTCACCAGGGCACTGATCAGACTCACCGGGGGCGAAGGGGGAGGAGGTTCCTGGGGGCTCTTCGGTTTGGAGGGCAAACGACCCCTTCGGCCTTTTAAGCTGTCTGTGCGAACCACTGAAAAAGACAAGACGCCCCCACTCAGAGAACGGGCCCGCCGGTCGCCCGGCCAGGCGGAGGAGAAGAAGAAGGAAATATGCACCCTTCCCACCCACCACCCACAACATTGAACGTCCCACTTTTCTACTGGGGGTCAAAACTTCGTGGCTGAATCTATCAGCCCAGAGAAAAGGTTTCCAAGGAGAATTGGGGGCTGCTTAATCGTGTACTATTTTTCCGGACTTCCTTTGGCTCCTACGGAGCTCAGTTTCGAGGAGGTCTGGCTCCAAACACGAGGCTGGCTTTTCAGAAACGAGGTTAGAAAAAAACAGGTCCGAGAGCAAACCCTCCTGGCGTTGCTTCGCCTAAGCCCAATCTGCCTTGCTCCTGGAACCCCTTTCAGGTTAAACCTAAGGCACCCCCGCAAGCGCCTCTTTGCTCAGGAAATGGTAGCTTAGGTCTAGTCCGGGTTCGCCCAGGCCTTCGCCTCCTGCCACTCCCCCCGAGGGTTGATGCTCTGAAGATGAGCCCGTGGGAGCTCTAGGGAGTGGGGAGGGGAGCCCTGGGCACCCCCGAGGGTCTGGAAGAAGCCCGCCCGCGGAAGCTCAGCGGGAACTTCGCCGCGCCTCCTCTCGCCGCGCCTGGGGACGCTGCCTGCTCCGCCTAGGCTTGTGGCCACCCCAACAGCAGGCTCTACCTTCTTTGACCATGCCGACCGCAAGGCACTTCTGAAAACGACAGTACTGGCACCGGTTCCGACGGCGTTTGTCCACGGGGCAGTTCTTATTCGCTAAACAAACGTATTTGGCGTTTTTCTGGACGGTGCGCTGCAGAGACAGGGGAGAGAAAGAGGGTGGGGGGGAGGGAGGAGAGGTGAGGAGGAGCGGAAGAGAACGGAGCGGAGCCCCGGAAGGCGGTCCGAGTTTGAGGCGCTTGGCGGGCTGAGAAGGTCCCTTTTTCTTCTTCCTCTCTCGCTCCGGCGGTCTCTCCTTTCCCAGGTCCACTAACACACGCAAAAAAAACTGGGGAGCGGGCTCGCCCAGCACCCTCTGGGGAGCCTGCTATAAGCTGAACGACTCAAATCCAAGCTATTTCTATGAGGTTTTTTTTGTTTTTGTTTTTTAAACTCCCTTTTGTGTTCAAGGGTGCGGTTACTCAGTGAGGAAGTTACGGGTGGGATGGGGGTGGGGGAATAGAGAAACAATTTAATTCGACCATCGGGATGGCGGGTCTACTTTATTAGCTAAGACGGAGTTCTCTGTTCTAACCAGTCCTAAGGCAAATGGATTTGCAAAAAAGACACGTACCCCACCCCACCCCCCTCGCGCAGCTCAGTTCCTACAGAGACAGGACAAGCCCCCCCTCCTCCTCCATCACCACCCTCTGGTGGGACTGGAACTGACAGAGAGAAAGGTTGGGGAGATCAGGAAAAGGGCAACACTTCAACAACTCGTCCTCCATCGCAGGTCGTTTTTGTGAAGTAATAGCTTAGGGAATAATAGGCCTAGTATAAACCAGCGCATTTAAAAAGCCTCTTGGGCCGTGGGGTTGGGGTATGAGGGAGAAAGGAAGAGAAAGAGAACCGGGGGCATTGTGGCACTTTCTCTTCCGAGCTTCAAAGCTCCGAGGGAATTAAAAAAAAAAAAAAAAAGCGATTCCCGGTTCCTTCGAACGTCCTTTCTTTCCCCACAAGGCTCGGAAAAGGATGCAGAGGAATTCCTCCGCTAAAGCGTCCAGTTCCTCTTCTGCTCCACTTTTATCTCCATCCCATATCTAGGGGCAGGGAGAACGTGGGTAAAAGGAAGGGCTGTGTCATTTGGGGGAGGGAGGGTCATGGGAATGCAATGTTATTCATAATAAAGCAAGAATAGCTAGGCCTCAAATCTAGATCAGAACAATAAAGCTGAGGGTTTCTTTTTATCCCCCTGTGGTGAACTGGCATATTCCCATCTAGTACAAGGAGTCCGAACTATTTTAAAGGATTAGGTGAGAAACAGCCTAACAAACGGGCGGTGAATATATGGCGTTTCATAAGATGAACACCCCACTGGCTTCCCTCTTCTCGAGCTTTTTGTCTTTCCCTATGAACTAAAAACCCGGTAAGGACGTGTGGATTTTGATCTAAGACCCCTTGATCATTCTGAACTCAGCTAAGATCTGGAGGCAGGAAGGGGGTTAAGACTAGATCCCCAAATAGAGATCCTGTTCTTTTCTTCGACGCGCCCAACCTCAAGACCCTAGTCTGAAGAAGCGAGTTAGTTTCTACTCAGCAGAGGCAGGAACTTGGAAGATAAAGGGAGACAGTGAAGGAGATGGACGGAGGGATGGGAGGTCAGCGGCATAGCAGTTGGCATCGGGGAGACAGACAGACAGATACACACACACACACACACACACACACACACGAGACTCACGCCCAGGAGGCAGCACGAGCCTCGGCTCACCTTAAAGAAGCCTTTGCAGCCCTCGCAGGTGCGCACGCCGTAGTGCTGGCAGGCGGCGTTGTCTCCGCAGACGGCGCACAGCCCCTCGTTGGAGGGCGAGCCCCGCGAAGGCGGCGAAGGCACCTGGGCATCCAGGAGCTGGGAGGCGTGCCCGATCTGCAGTCCGGGGAACCCGACGGCGGCGGCGGCACTGGCCTGCTTGCGGATCGGGTTGGGCAGAGCGAAAGGCTGCCCGTCGTGGTGGTGGTGGTGATGGTGGTGGTGGTGGTGGGCGCCAGGCCCGTGGGCCGAGGGCTCCCCGTTGAGCGGTAGGGCATGCAGGGGCCCGTCAAAGCGCATCTGGCAGCTGCCCACCGGCATGCCGGGCGGCGATTGCTTGAAGGAGAAAAGCGAGAGACGCGGCACCGCCGTCGGGGCTGCCTTATGCACGCCGCCGCCTCCGCCGCCAGCCGCTCCTCCTGCCGTCCCACCGTAAGCCTGGTGGTGGTGGTGGTGGTGGTGATGGAAGCCGTGCAGCGGCCCGGCCTCGTCCCAAACGCTCTGACCCGGCGCGAAACCAGCGGCCGGGGTGGGCGGCGAGGCGCAGGGTTTGTAGTAGACGGCCAGCTCATCAGGCGCCTGGGGCCCGCCGGCGGCGGCGGGGGGCGGCGGCGGCGGGTAGCCGTGGCCGTGCAGGGGCAGCTCCTCGACCTTGATGGAGGGCGCCGGTGGCGGGGGCGGCGGGGGCTGCGACGGCATTTGGTAGAGGCAGGGCGGCTTGACGTCGTAACCCGCGGCGGCGGCGGCAGCGGCGCCGTAGTTGTCCATAAAGGTACTGAAGCTGGGGAGAGAAGTGGTGGCAGTGATTTCAGTGTTGGTCAGGTCCATGCTAAACTTGACAAACTCGGGAGTTAAGAAGTCCGAGCTGTATTCCCCGGCAGCCGCCGAGTGGTGGTACGAGTAGCTCTGCGTGGCCGGGCTGGCTCCTTGTGGCGAGGACCCGTACTGAGCCTGGACGCAGGGCATGGCTGCAAACGAAACACGGCACAACAAGAGCATGGCTCAGCTTTCCTGGGCAACAATCCCATTCCTCGTCCTCCCGCCCGCCCCCCCGCCCACCCTTCCCCACCAAGAGGCCGAGCCAGCAGGGGAGGAAGATGCCAGGGAATGGGACGGGGAGACGAGAGAGAGAGAGGACAGGGTGGCACAAGCGGTGGAGGTAAAAACGCGAGCCGAAGAGAAGGGAGGACCGTGGGCAAGCAGGGCTTTCTAACAGAGGGAGGGGAGAGACAGCAGCGAGCTCTCTCTGTTCAACGTCGGTGGGGGAGGAGACCGGGGGTGTCTTCTAAGCAGAAAGAGATGCCCCCGCTGCCAAGGACAAGGGAGGCTAGATGGGATGCTGAGCTGCTGCCCGCGTTAGAGCTGCGGAGAGCGGAGCCCAGCAACGGCCCCCTCCTCCTCTCCACCCGCCCGGGCACATGTACTTTCTTTCTCTCCTGAGTTCCGCCAGCCCAACTCCGGCTAAAGGCAAGAGGCCGCTTTCTCCGCGTTGAAGAGAGTTTGATTTCCTGGTTGACGGAGGGGCGGAGAGGGTGGGGGGTGGGGTGGGAGGGTGGGGGGACAGGTGAGGAAAGGGTCAACCCGCGTCACCCACCTTCAGCCGCGTGAGTGGCGTTTTCGGGAGAATTGAAGGCAGACAGCGTCGGAAGTCAATGGAGAGACAAGTTGCCAAGACTTGAGCGAGGCGCCGAGGACTCCAGCCTGTCCGGTTGCTCCCTGAAAAAACATAGACGGGCAAGGTGCGGAGAGGGAAAGGGGTTACTTTTTTTTTTCAGCCTCACCTGGTTCGCGGAGGTAACGGGGTCTAGCGGGCGCCACAAAATGCCTCCTTCTGCCAGGCCCAGAGGTGGCTAGGAGAGCTGGGAGTACAGCCTCCCAAAAGCCGCTATAGGCAGAGAGCTTATCTTCCGCTGGATGGAAATGGGGAAAAAGAAAAAAGAAACCCTTTGCGTTGCCGTTTCGCTATAGACCCCCTCCTGGTGCAACGAAAGTATTCAGACCTTCAAGTTATCTCCCCTAACCCCACCCCCCTCGCTCCCTAATAGCTTGTCCACACGCATCTGCCCGCAGAGATGCGCGCTCCCAGCAAACTCTTTTTTACACTCGACAGCTCCCGCAAGCCTCACAAACGCGCGTTTGCCATGCCCATTGGGCTCACTCCTCTCCCACGGCGAGCGGGCTGTCAAGTGGCGCGGGCTAAGGACGAGAAGCGCGACGGGAGAGGAGCGGAGGTGGGGGCAGGAGAAAGAGTGGGGGGGGTGGCCCACGCCCCCGTCTCCCCTCGACATTCCGCCACTACCTTCGGCTTCCAAACCTTCGGGGGGGGGGGGGGGGGAGGCGCAGAGCGGCAGAAACGGCCTTGAATGAGAGCCGGCAGCCGCTCGCACGCGCGCGCACAAAGGCGTAAAGGCAATTCAAAGGGACAGAGAAAGCAGCGAAGCCGAGCTGCGCGCGGGGAGAGCTGGAGGGGTCCCGAAGGATGCGCGGGGCAAAGTAAGGCAGCTAGGACTGAAACGGGAGAAGGGAACGCTTCTGCCATCTCTTCCGGATCCCCTTCGGAACTGACGCAAATCGTTTTTTTCCGGGGGCTTTTCCAATGATTGCATCCCTCCGATATCGCCCGCCCCCCCCCTCCCCAGAACAGCTTTCTCAAGCGGAGAAGTAGCCAACCCTGGGAAGTTTCATACTTGGGCTGCTCAGCTAGCCTCTCTCGGCGGACTCCTCTTGGCTTCTTACTCCGAAGTCTTGGTGCCCCTTCATTCAAACTCCGCTCGAAGCCAACAATCCCTCTCACTCTCTACAACCTGCTAGCTAGGCCGGTTTTCCTTCTTTCCTGCCTCCCACCTACATCAGGCAGGTAGGCCGGCCGGCCCCGCTATTAGGCGACGAGCTCTGGAGTCATTTATTGCAGTTCTGCCCACCTCCGCCGGCAATCAACCTTGAAAAGGGAGCGTGTGGCTCCAGGACCGAGCGCTGGTCCTGCCTGCGCTCAGACCTTGTCGCTGACGGAGATCAAAAGTGTTCCCAAGTAACCCAAATCCTCCGCCCAACAACTTCCCCCCCTCCCCGCCTTCTTCCTGCGATTGAAGTCCCTCCGCGGACCTCTTCCACGGGCTGGAACCGAAAACCCTGAGCCCCGAAAACCCAAGCGCAGGAGCTGCGCTCAAAAGTTTCCTCTTCCGGCCTTCTGTCGGAAAATCCACACTTTGGGGGGGGGGGGGATGGAAGTTGCGAGGTGGGCTGTTGGGAAGGTCTCCGGATCCGAAGGCCGCTAGGCGAGGCTCTTTCACAAGAGGTGCATTTGGGATAAGCCTGCACTGGGCGGCGGTGGGTGGGGTTAATATTTTATATCTGGCAAGCGCGATCTTCCCCAGTCCCAATCCTCCCCCCACCCTTCTCACCCCCCCCCCCCACTCCATCCCATCTCCGGGCTACTTTACTTTTCCTGAAGACGGGGGGGGGGGGGGGAGGAGGTTGCAATCATCCAGCCCAAAGACAGAATATATTTCTCCTTGTCGCAGTCAACGGCGCGATCCACTTACTTGTTAGGTGGCGTGTCTCTTTCATTCATTCATTCATTCATTCATGCAACTGTTGGCAGTTCGGATTCTCGGGGCGAGCGGGCGAAGGAAGGAAGGAAGCGGAGAGGCGCTTCTCGCCGCCGCTCGCTTCGTTCTCGCTTTTCCTTTCGCCTTCCCCTCGCCTCCGCCGGCGCGCGGACCCACGCTCTCCCTTTTCGCTCCTGAAGGGAAGTACAGGACGAGCGAAGCGCGGGGCGAGCAAAGCAGGACAGACTGGCCCTTCCCTCCAATGTGCCTTTGTTTATGTGGGTTCTGTATTGCACAGCCAAATGCATCCCAAGTCTTCAAACGTCAGTGCACGTCAGTGCCGCCTTGCCCAATCAGCCAGTCAAGGGGCTGGATCTCTCGGTACAGTTGGCTAGATCTTGCTTTGGTAAATTTCCGACGTGACATCACCAAGAGTGGCGCTTTTAAGGTGGGAAACGGCTCTCACTGCTTTGCCTTCACCTTGGCGCAGCTTTTGCCCAGATCCTCCTCCATCCTTTTCCTTCTCCTTTCCCAGGTCTGGGCTGGTGCAACCGGAGGTCCGAAGCCGTAAACAAAGACTGAATAAATACTCCCTTTCTCTTCCCTCCCCCCGCCCACCCCCGGTTGTCATAAAGTGGTCCAAGAATCTCTAGGCGCTGTCAATCCATCGCGCGCTCTGCCCCCTCCCTCTTTTTTTTTCCACATTATACTTTCTCACCAAGCGGAACCGGTGTGTGTTTTCCAGGTACGTTCGCTTTCAAGAAGGAACGTTACAATCATCCGGGGGCAATTTACGTGGGATGTCCACCTATCTTTCATCTGTCTAGAACTACGACTTCTTGCCCGTCCCTTCCAAGTACCACCTTATCTCGGCGGTCCTCTCTGCAGAAGGCACTTTACAGGTAAAAAGGCAGGAATGTATTGACGCACCCAGCCCATCCTTTTAAAGCAGAGACAACGCATTCAACAAGTTGCACAATCGTTCCCGAACCGATTTACGTCCCGAAGCATACTTCTGTCGCTTTCCCACTCTCCCCACGTTGCGCTTCAACTGCTTAAAAAAACGCCCACGGGTGCTATTATATTTGGAGGGGGAAAGAGTGTGCGTGTGTGTATGTGTGCGTGCCTGTGCCGCGGCGTGCCCTCAGGACAAACATATAAACTAGATTCTAAATATTAGTATTTTGTTATTTTATAAGCATACAACCAAATTGCATACAGTGCCGTTTCTGCAGCCGAGTAAGAAATAAGTTAATGGTCAAAGTCCAAGGCGTGCACGTGGGTCAGAATCGCTGCCACCCAGAAGGAACTGCTTACAAGGGAGGTGGTGCTGCTATTCCGAGCGCTCTGATCTGGGGTGAATCCTCGACGGAACCAGTGGGAGTTACTTCCGTGTAGATGGGCAGGAAAAGCAGCGAAGCCCCAAGGATCCTTTTGCTGCCTCGGCGGGAAACGTCGCTGGGATGCCTCCTTATGTTCTGTTTCCCGCGTGGACGTTGCAGCCCACGCAGGTAATCGACGGACCGGCCGCGGGCGCTGGAGGGAAGGAACGGGGGGGGGGGGGGGCGGGTTCCCGCGACCCCTTCCCAACAGCCTGCGGATTAGGGGGCTTTAGGCAGGCGCGCCTTGCCCCTTGCCCCCCTTCCCCCCCCCCCCCGCCCACGCGTGTCAACCCTCAGCTTGTTAAACGGAGAAAATTTGCCCCCACCCCCACCCGAACTTGCCGCCGATTGGAGATCTTGCAGGTGAAGGGACAAAAGGATTAACCGAGGACGCGGAAGGTAACTTCAGAAGGTGAGTAGATGTTCAGTCAGAGCTGTCATTGGGTCCCAAAGATGCTTTTTTTTTTTTTTTCAAGAGGCAACTGGACTTTCTGGTTTGTTTGTTTTCTTTGAAGACGTTTCGCTTCTCACCCAAGAAGCTTCTTCAGCTCTGACTGGGTGGTGGGGAATGGAAGGCTTGCCCCTTGAAAAAGCAAAAAGCACCCTTGGGACAACCATGACCTGGATGACCGAGACTCTCCATAGGCATGGAGCCGTCGTTGGGGTTAATGGGGCATGCACGCCACAGAGGTCTAGGAATGCACTGCTACACACACACACACCCGCCCTCCCCCACTCCCCATAGTGGTTCCGTGAAGGTAGTAGGTCCTGCGCGGGTTGGTTTCAAAGCAAACCCCGCCGAATGTGCACAGGGGCTTGTTTCCAAGCAAGCGCAGCCTTCAAGAGAGACTTTTAATCTCCGAGTTTATTTGGGGGCAAGCCTCTTTGGCTTGCCTCGGCTCCCCTTCCGGAGCGCTTCTCTTTGTAAGTTGAGCCAATCCATTAGGATTTCCGTCTCTTCCAAAAATGTCCCTGAACTTTCGAAGAACGCCTTGAGTCAATGGGATTCCCTCCCAGAAGGGAACTGTCTCCCCCCACCACCACCATCACCACCGGGCTATTTTTAGGAATCATATAACTAGAGGGGCGGGGCTGGCTGGGTTGGTTTGTTTTTATTTGTTTTGTTTTGGTTTTTTTAGGGACAAAGATTGGCAACGAAGGCGGGAAGAACCCTGAGCGGCCACCTTAAGTCCTCCTCCTCCTCCTCCTCCGGCTGCTGGCCCGTCGAGAGGCTGCCAGAGGGCTGGGAGGAGGAAAGCTCGGGCTCATTAGCATGAGAGCAGCCGCGTCAGCCGCCGCCGCCGCCGCCGCCGCCCGTGGGCTGAAGCGCACGAAAAGGAAAAAGTGAGAGTTGGGAGGAGGGAAAGGGGGGGGGAAGAGGGGCGGGGTGGCGCGTGACGCAAGGGGACGGTGCCATTGACGCAACAGGCTTGGGATGCTCCGAAAATAGCAATCGCAAGAAGCGCCCAGTTTGCCCCGGCGGTGCCTGCTCCATTGCGCTGAGAAGACGGGGAAGCAACAGCCTGAGAGTGGGCCGGGCTATTTTAAGGCTCTGCGAATCGGAAACTCGAAAAGCAGCCAAGGGGGGTTTATTTTTAAAACCTTTTCCTGGGCGCTGCGTTTCCGAGACTGAGAACTTCCTTTAAGGCTCTAGCTCTGGGACTGAAGTTGCTCCAAAGAGAAAGATTGGGCTGAGGCTACCAAGGGGTAACGCTAACTCCCTTCTCCTTTTGTTAATGCTGTTTAAGCCCGTGTAAGAAAAGGATGTCGTTCTGTTTGGAGTGACACGTAGTAATAAAAATCATCTTGAATAAGCGTGGGTGTGAGAGGTGGTTCCGAAAAGAGGAGCTCGCAAATAACTTTTTCTCTCTCGCTTGAACCATCACTGTTTTGCAAAGGGAAGTCAGGCCGGCATAAATGATTCTTTGCAGCGATGGAGAGGAAAAGCAGCGAAGGCCTTGGCATCCGCAGGCAAGGTGACCCCGGTTCTCCCTTGCCACCCGCACATTGAAACCTCCGGATTGTAGCGAGGTGAGCCCACATCCGGGCTGCAAAACTACGGGTGACCACTAGATGTCAACCCACTGACTTGCCTGCCTCTCTGCTAAATGGTACGGATTTTAGCAGCCCACACACCATAACCAAGAACAGGGCTACAAAACCAGGGACTCTACCTATACCTCCACCCAGTATCATTTCTGCATCAGCTACCAAGATTCAGGCGGTTTGCTGTTCTTCTCTGCCTAACTGCAAATACCAGTATTGGGAGGATCACTAGGTGGCAGCAAATAAGATTTTCAGTTTTTCTTTGGTGCCATCTTGTGGTCATCTGGTTTTCTGTTGCCCATCTGAGAGGTTGCTGAGGCCCAAATAACTCCCACACACGGATCAAGGCCATTCCTAATGTGTCTCCTGTCCTAATAATTGGCCAAATGGAGTGTATTTTCTTTTTGAGGCTTTAAATATTTTTGCTCAAAAATGCAGTATTAATTTGGACAGCATGGACTATAAAACAATGAAAACCAAACAGCTTTATATTATATATTTATATTATATATTTATATATTTAATATTAGTCTAAAGCTCTTCCAAAGTTGCCCAATTAGAATAATTTAGTATTGCATTTCTCCAATCATGTCAATAGGGGGCTGGACTCTGCAGTCAACATAACCAAGAACATTTTAAGTAACAGTGGTAAAACCTTGATGTATTTTCTAAGGTAAATGCATAATCACTCCCAATAATTTGTTGAATGTAAAGTCTCCTGTCTTCAATATTCAAGGTTGGTCTTTCGAGTCCTTTGCCATTAACCACAATTTAATGTGCATGTGCAAAATAATGTATTGTATAATTTGCCCCAAAATAGTTGTATTCTTTAAGAGGGCCAGCTGTTTCTATTTATTTCAAGGAAGTGGCATCCTATTAAAATATTTTATACACAAGCACTTGAAATAATGTCATTTTTCTATATTACATCATGAATGCTAGCAATAAGACATTATGGCTCTTTAATTTCTTTATATATTTTTTTCTAAATCCCTAGGGATGCTACAAACATAAGAATTAGTATGGCTGTGGAATTTAGAAACTATAGATTTATGTAGGCATCTTAACTTCACTGCTACAAAACCATTTTTACAAACACAGACTGACATTTTGTTTGAAAAGTACTGTTCTAGTACTGATTTTGATATAGTTATTCAGAAACTTTCATGTATTCCTTGATAATACATCATAGGATGAAGTTATTTTCATCACTGAAGCAGTGGATGTGGATGAGAGCTATACTGAAACATAAGCTTCTACAATTTGGAGGAAATGAGGAGTGAAAGTCATTTTATAACTATATGTATGTACGCACACGTTTAAATTAGAAAATTAATTAGAGGTAAAAAAAATATTAACATTCAAGGTTGATTCACAAAATGAAAGTTATCCCTCTTTGTTTATATCATATTAAACAAAGTTAAGAGGATAAAATTATTTTATTCTTGTTGCTGAGTTTATACCTCAATTGATATGTCAAGTTACTTGCATGAGATCACTAAGTGGGAAATATTTTCCTTATATCATAAGCATTATTTTTAAATTAAAATCTCCCTTTAAAAAAATCAGAGGGGGGTTCTGTGGTCAGATTTTCTGTCAAATACCAGATGGTGCCCTGCATAATTTAAAACACTGCATTTTTTTCTTCTTCTATCCAATCATGTCTATTTCTCAGAGGCTGCCTGGAGAAGGTCCCTGCAGTTTTCTTAGGTTTTCAAAAGTGATTTGCTATTCCTTCTTTCCTGGTCCAAGGTCACTCAGTAGACTTTTGCTTAAGACAGAATTAGAACTCACCACCTCCAGTTTCTGGCCGGATGCTTCTTAACCAC